AGCGTTGGCAACTAATTTCATCATCTATTAGTTGTGTCGCGCGATTAATGCGTCATCCGCCGCCGCCGTCATCACTGCCACTTGACTGAAACGGGGGAAGAAGAAAAAATTACGGCAGAGCGAGCCAGCGCTGCGGGTGCAGTGTTGCAAACTCAGCGACTTTGTCGCTATATTTAGCGACTTTTCAGACCCCTCCAGCGACTATTTTTTTAAAAAAGCGACTAGCGACAAATCTGATGACTTTTTACGGTGTCACTGGTGGCTTTTGGAGACTCTTACGTGAAAGCATGTATCGTTCCTACTCTTGTGCTGCAGCAGCAGCTACTGCCGTGAGGCGCCTCCCCCATCCCAAGCCCGTTCTCCCGCAGGAGTCCCTCTCAGCGCTGCAGTCAGAGCCAGCAGGATGTTTACCCTCAGTGTCCAGACTGCAAATGAAGCGCGCATGCGCCGGGATTGACGGCGCAAATTGATCACAATAATTAAAATAGCCTTTATAAATAAATTAACTTGCAAATTATGAGGGCAAGGCTTTTAAAGTTTAAATCTTCTGGCAAAGATAAAGTAAAGAAGATCCTGCAATTTATGGAAGTAAAGCAGAATAAAATCCAGCAAGATCAGTAATATGTCAATTAATTATATGCCAAATTCCCATGTAAATATCTGTCTTTGGAGGATGTGTTTTTTACCACCCCTAGTTCTCTCATTTTTATTCCAAATACAATTTATAATTTGAATCACAGGGCTATTTTTATCTCTGTGGTTAAGTATTTTCTCAAGTAGCAACTTTAACTGCTATACTTTCCTGTCTTAAAAGGCAGAACTCTTCTAGTCTAAAAAAAAAAAGCATTTGATGAAATGGGTGGACCTATTGTTTGAACCCCTTAGAGGCTTTTAAAAACAAAAATGTCTTTTTTGCGCTTCATGAAACAAAGTACCCTATATTTTGTGTATTTACAGCTACATTTCTCATGTAAGTTTGCGTAGTTTTAACACAAACATTTATTTTTCATATTGCACCAGTACAGTTAATGAGCAACCTGTACTTGTGTGCTTGTTTGTTCTGTCTAAAATGTTTATTTTGGAATAAAGAGGTTAATATAAAAAATATTTTTTGTCCGATTCATCGATTAATCAAAAAAATAATTGGCCGATTCATCGATTTTTAAAATAATCGTTAGTTGCAGCCCTAATATGAAGATATTGTGATATTTTTAATGTATCAATATTTTTTCCCTCGTCTTTAGAAGTTTTTAAGTCTGTAAAAAAGAAGTTTTTGAGGAAGAAGAAGTAGTATTTTATATATTTTTTTAGACTTTAGAAACTCAGAAGCTGATCAAATATCGAGTTAAATATCGGTGGGGTGGCCGATGTCCGATATTCAGTTTTAAGGCCGATACAGGCCGATACAGGCCGATACCGATAGGGGGCCGATTGTATCGTGCATCCCTAAAAATAACCATCAAAGTCGACTATTAAACCATTTCGGGCTGCAACTAACAATTATTTTGTGATTAGTCTGTTGATTATTTTTTTTGATTAAACGATTTATAATCAGATACAGATTTTTTTTTTCTCTTTTTTTTTCATTTTTTTTTTTGCTAAATTAAACCAGATGAAACAAACTTTTCCACTTTAGGACTCTAGACTGAGCATATTAACATATCTAAAATGCAAAATTTTTACATATTTTTCTTTACAATTTTGATATAACTGCTTAAGGTGGGTCGCTCTGTCCACTAAAGGAACACTTTATAGCCTCTATACTCTAGTTAATGATTAATTTATTACTGAATTAGTTAATGATTATTTCAATAATTGATTAATCAAGATTAATCGTTTTACCCCTAAAACCAGCAACTTCAAACTACAGGATTAATTAATACTTGGAGTATTTTGATTGTAAAACAGGTCAAGTGATTGCAGTGCTTGTTATTGCTCTTGCCCAAAATGCTCTTATGAACTGCACACTACCCTGAGTTATCTTATGAATAATGGAGACAAATTTGTCTTTCTAGTAGGGTTGTCAAAAGTATCGATACTCAAAAAAAGTATCGATACTGAAAAGTTGTATCCGGATACAATACTCATTTTCAAAAGTATCGATACAGTGCCACCACCAGTGGCATCTAAGCGGTCATTCATCTTATGTGCAGAATAGTGGAAAATGCACTTTCTGAACACTGTGTGATTGAATAATTCTATGCACTTTTCAGTTTCAGACTTTTTTCTGTAACAGGTGCAGCTGCTGAGAATTATTTTTGTTTCTTAACTGGTTTGGCTAGTGTCATTGTTATGTGTGCAAAGCATAGCCAAGGAAGGAACAATTCATTTGAATTTTATAAGTTTTTTATCAAGCTTGCTTAATATTGTGCACAGCATACAACCTCAAATAATTGTTTATTGTATTTATTTATCTATTTATTGTATTTTGTTTATTAATGAAAAAATTTCTGTTGATTTTTGGAGTCTTTGTTTTTATCCTTGTGGTATCGAAAATGACATCGAGTATCGAATATTTTACTTAGTATCGGTATCGAGTTGAAAAGTTTAGTATCGTGACAACCCTACTTTCTAGCAACCATTACCTCAATGTTCTTCCAATATAATAAAGTAACTATTCAGTTTTATTCTGAAACATCAATAAAGGAGCATTTATTTCTTATTTGTAATCAACACTAGAAGAAATGTGCAAACTGATGTAGGATTATCTTGCCAGTGTTGGGAAAGTTCTCTTTCTACGTGAACTATTTCAAAGTTCAGTTCACACATTTTAAAAGGAACTAGTTCAGTTCATAGTTCATAATTCAAAATTTTGAACTAAGTTCACAGTTCCAAAAAATGAAATAGTTCATAGTTCTTTTTTTTTTTTTTTCATATATTGCTCAATTACACCATAGCCTACTGTAGAACCACAGACAGCAATTATTTTATCAGTTGTAACTCTGAAACTGTGCGTCAGATTTCATCTTCATATCCAGTTTTGAATCCTTATCCAACCAGGGTTTACATTAGCATTGAGGGGACAGCATTTCCCCATTGTTGCTTTAAGGCTTTGTTGCTGTCCATTCACTTCACACTAGTAGCAGCTGCAGCTTTCACCCCTACAGTATATTCTCAAAAACATCAGGAAAAATGTGCTGCTTGAATGGTCTTTTTATGAGGAATTATTAAAAGAAAAACAGGAAAGTAGTCTTTAAGGTGCAAATGTTTTTTTTTTATTATTTTAATAATTTTTTCCATTTGAAATTTCATTTCAGTACATACTAAAAAAGGAATACTGGAATCCTGGAAAATTATACCAGGCAGGTTTAAAGGAATAGTACACCCAAAACATGATTAGCCTTCATTTTCTACTCACCCACATGCTGAACAACACTCTGGAGTACTTTTTTGATATCTCAAATGCATCTGGAGATCTGGGAGGCTTCTTGCTGTCTGCTGACATTCAAATAATGGAGGTCTATGGTGCCCGAGACAGAAAAGTCCACAAAAAACGTGTCAATATTCCTCCATACTGCTCGTCCAATGTATTCCAAGTGTCCTGAGTGGGTAGCATCCATAATTTACTTGAAACGAAGTCATTTAGAATGTTTTTAGAGCATAAACAGTAGTGTATAGGATTTCCTGAAAGCACGCGCCTGCGAGTTCACGAGCCTACGGAAACTGCGGCAGACCAAACCAGATGAAAGTGCGCATTCAGCTCGGCAAAGAACTCATGCTCTTCCTCAACACTGAAGTCCTCAGACATTTTTCTTTCGTTGTTTCTTTCTTTGCACAGGTAAACAGCACATTTCTTCTTCTACGCTTGCATTATCGGCAGAGCAGACGCTGAATGCGCACTTTCATCTGGTTTGGTCTGCCGGCTTCCGTAGCGTCGTGAACGCGCAGGCGCGCGCTTTCAGGAAATCCTATACACTACTGTTTATGCTCTAAAAACATTCTAAATGACTTCGTTTCGAGTAAATTATGGACGCTACCCACTCAGGACACTTGGAATACATTGGACGAGCAGTATGGAGGAATATTGACACATTTTTTGTGGACTTTTATGGACCTTTCTGCCTCGGGCGCCATAGACCTCCATTATTTGAATGTCAGCAGACAGCAAGAAGCCTCCCAGATCTCCAGATGCATTTGAGATATCAAAAAAGTACTCCAGAGTGTTGTTCAGCATGGGGGTGAGTAGAAAATGAAGGCTAATCATGTTTTGGGTGTACTATTCCTTTAACAAACAAGTTACATGAATAGTAAAACCCTTAAGAACATTTTACTAACAGAAACTGAGGGACCAGGCTGAGGTAGGAATTTAAGGTTAATGAAGTGCGGATTTTTTTACTGAAAGCCGGGGGGCAAAGTTTGCAGAGAAATGTAAGATTGTTGCCATCATCCTCACCGACCACCTGGTCATAAAACTGTTTTAAGTGATCATGCTGCTGCTCTGTCGCCTCCATGCTGCTGTGGCTTCCACGCTGCATTTTGTTTTGATGACACACGCGGCTGTAGGCTACGGCACTGGTAGCTGGTGTTGCCAGATTGGGTGTTTTTCCCGCTACATATTAAGGCCTGTTTACGGTGTGATTTAGCCGGGGTTTCCCCTGGAGGACTCTATAGAAATCTGGCAACCTATTGAACGGAGCTGAACTGAGAGAGCGTGCCGTTCAGACACCAGAATGAACGAGTTCACAATAACGTTCATCAGGCAGTAATGCAGTATGTTCAGTTCACATTCGCCCAAAATATGAACGAGTTCATGAACTTTCGTTCAATGAACGCGTTCAGGCACAACACTGGATCTTGCATGTTGGTTTGCTTACAATTCTCTTTGGTGTTTGATAAGCAATGCAGTGTTATACATTTCCTTGGTAAATATCAAATAACATTTCTTTTCTCCTTTAACCCTCCTGAGAAAAATAAGTAAAGTAAAATCATTTTGATTCCTTTAGAATTTACTCAGAAAGTCTGGTGTTATTTCGTCATCAACCATCTGTTTCCTCTTGAAGCTGGCGAAAGAAACCACGGCCCAGAATTTAAAATGTCACAGGCCACTAAACGCAAACATGTCGTGAAAGAAGTCCTCGGAGACTTCATCACTCCCACAGAGAACCAGCAGATCGTGAAGGTAAACATGTCGATGAACAGGATGGAAAGATTTCTCATCAGGACTTTCATCTGGTGCTGATCTCCTTTTTCCAACTTCTCCCAGGTGATCGGTAGCCGTGGCAACAACCTCCATGAAACAATCACGGCTCAGGGCGAGACCTTCCTGGTGAGCATGCCCACCAAGTTCCGCAAGAACATCTGGATCAAGAGAGGTAGTTCATGGAGTTGAAGAAATGTGTTTTCAGAGATGGTTGTTGTTGTTGTTCTACTTTCAGGTGTTTTAAATATTTCCCAACAGTGGACATAATAAAGTCTCTATATTTTTATGTCTGTAAGACTTTATGTCGAAGAAGGTCGCTGCCCATCCAGCAACCTTCCAAAATGTGAAAATTTCTGGATGGAAAACAACTTTGGATAACAATTCTAGGTTCTTCAAGGTGGAAGATATTCAGGAACCAACGGACCTGCTGTCTTCGCTTAAATGTCCTCCCTCCGGTCCATAATACTGCTTCCACCGTGTTTCTCCTCGGAGATGGGATGTTTAGAGAGATTTGTTGATTTTCCTCCACATTTTGCATAAAGGCTGAATAGTTTCCTTGAGTCTCATCCGACCAGATGACGGCATCTTGACATTAGCTGCGTTTAAATGGACACAAATAATCGGGCCTGATCAGATCAAAACTGTTCCATGTGAACATGTCAGACTTAATTCCAAAAAAAGAAAAGAAAATTATCCTCTCTAAGACCAGTGGATGTTAAGTGGGGTAAACTCAGGATGCATAAAATTCCACCGGTAAATTTGTTACCAATATAGACATGTTGGACATCATTGGAAAGCAATTAACAATTAACGCAGATATAGCAGCATGTCAAAATTTAAACAAACAAAGCAGCCACAGCTACATACCTTTGAAGGCATCCAGAAGCCGTTTTATGAATCCAATCTTCAATTGTATATACTCCATTCGTCGACAAGGGTTCACAGATTAAAAGTAATCAAGCATATTAGTAATAAACATTCCATGATGAGAAAATAGCCCATAGCGTCCGGTTGTTGACATCAGAAAGGTTAGCTGGTCATAGCTTATTCTCAGCCTCTTGTAATATTTACTTCCCTATACTTATTTCTTCGGTTGTTAGCCTGCAGTGTTTGGTATGGTTCCTTAAATCGTCTTCTCATCTACGTAACACAAGAGTCTGCATATTTTTATGATGCAATTTGAGCGAGATATAGTCCCGGATATCTCACTTCAGGTTCACTTCCTGTCAGCCAGTGATGTTCGATTTGATTGACATTATTATTCTCTGCTGTTATTGGTTAAGACCGAGTGGAGTGTGGGGCTTTGTAGCCAATGAAATAAGCATTTGAACGAGCCTAAATGTGTGCAATTTATTTAAAGGGGTACCGCATTACAGGCTTGTGTTAGAGAGAAACACAGACACCAGCAGGTGGAGCCATTGTGTGCAGCTCCAAGCTGACACCAAAAGTTCCAAACCCCACAGCTCTGGAACTGTTATAGCTAGAGGTCTGAGATTTTATGCATTTGTGGTTGACAAGATGTAGAACAAATTTAAAACAATCAGACCTGCCTTTTCTCAAGAATGTCTTTATTGCTGCTGTTCAAAAGAGACCTATCATTTCTGAGAATAAAAAAAACAACAACTTTGAGTCATCTTTGAATTGATGCAGCTTGGTCTGTGTTCTACTCACCCAATTTATTTAGCTTTCAAATAATGTATTGCATGTGTATTTGGGCCTACAGTTCCTAAGTTATTTGCTTTTCCATTTGGGTGTGCAAAATAGGCGAGGATTACCCAAGATGAGGTGGATGTTAAGTGGTCAAAACGATCCACTGGACTTTGTTTCCAAGTTTGATGACGTTTCGCTTCCCATCCAGGAAGCTTTTTCAATTCAAAAATGTCTGAAATACCGTTGGGTTTGAGATTTTTTATAATATAATATTAAAAACCTCAAACTCAACGCTATTCCTGACATTTTGAATGAGTAATGAGTAACAGCACTCTGCATCTTGATACATGGAATAATGTGACTAAACTATGTTGAATTAAAATATATATAAACCAACAAATCTACCTGAAAAGTATATATAAACATGCCAGAGCAGCATCAAACCTACTTGGTGTCCAGAAAACGCACACAATGCAGGAAACAAGCTTTCTATTAATGTTTTCATCAGCTCCGACTAGTCTCTTCTGAGCCGCACCTCGCATTCACTGTCCAAGCTTTGCTGACATGGTGGGGCGTTCATGTGTTCCTTGAAAATCCTAGCACACATTGATGTGCTTTCAGACAGGTGCATTGGGTTTACCTGTTTTCATTCCCCACAAGAGTATGTAACGCTAAACGAGCGAATTCAATGACGCCCCACCCACATGAAAAAACTCAATATGCTGAATGGTTAGTGCTTCGTTGGTGCACGTCTGTGCAGTTAAAATGACCATTTGTCCTCCTTGTCATTCAGAGAAATTAAAGATTATCCAGATACTTAAGGTCAGAGAGGACCATGTCGAGCTGAAATCAGCAAGCTGCAGGTAGAAGCTCCTTCTGGTAATATGTCAGACGTTCGCCAGCTTCTGACTGAGCGGCTTTGTTGCTGGAATCGACAAATTCACTCGTCTGGTTGGAGGCTGGACTTGTCCCTCTCCGTCTTTAACAATCTCGTTCTTCTTACCTTGCCACCATAAAGGCCAGATTAAACTAATAGGTCTACCAACAGATGATGAAAAGTTCTTTCCGGATGAATACAGTGAAAACACAGACGGCCACTTTAACATTCTTAGTTATTTGGTCCTAATCTGAGTTGAGGAGGAAAAAAGCTAAAATGTTGAAGATAAAAAGAAGCTTTACTCTATTTTGTGGTATTCATTGATTCATTTAAATGTATTTTTTTCTTTTGAGGTATTTCTAACCAAAGTCTTTTAGTTCAGATGCAACATTACTTAGTGTTTAAACAAACTTTAGTTGTTTTTACCTGATCATTCTTTGGGGAAATTAGCCTTTATTGGCAGATCTGCTTCACCTACTGTGGTAAAAAAGGGTAGATTCTAGATGGGAACTATGATCTCAGATGCACATTAGTGGCCAGTATAAACTAATATGATGATGTAAGCTGATATTTGCCTCAATTTGAATTCAGTTCTGCTGTAATTCCTCAGGAGATTATGTGGTTGTGGATCCTATTGAAGAAGGAGAGAAGGTGAAGGCAGAGATCAGCTTCATTCTCTACAAAGATCACATTCAGGACCTGCAAAAACGGCAACTCTGGTAAGAAAAAGTCCCACAAACCCACTTAGGAACGTACAGTGGAAGAGTCCTAAACTGTAATTGTCTCCATTAAGGCCCCAGGGTTTTATGGCGGAGCGGCCATCACTGGACAAGGCCAGCAGGAAGGAGGAGGACGAGGAGAAAGAGGAGGAAGAAGGGGATTCTGAAGATGACAGTGACCTCTTCGTGAACACCAACCGCTGCAACTACCAGTACAGTGAGAGCGAAGAGGATGACAGTGAGGAAGAGGAGGAGGAAGAGGAAAGGACAGGAAATGGATCATAGCTGCAGCGGAACAACAAAAGTAAACCTGCGAACTGAAAAGATCCACTGACTGTTCAGCTGTCATTACCGACCGGTTAAAATTTTGCTTTTGGGCAACAGCTCCCTCTGCTGGCCAGTTGGAGCTCCTTCACTGACTCTCAGATTTTCAGCTTCTGCCCAAAATCATCTAAAATGTTCAAGTGGAATTAAAATATAACCAGAATTAGCATCACATACAGTGCTCTTCGTCTTCCTAACATCAGCAACACCGACGCACAGCGAAAAAGTTATGCGATTGATACAGCTGCTGCTGCTTCGCCCGTCACCAAGGCGCCAAACGGGCTTTATAAGGTTTCACATCTTGATCTGTTAACCGGAAAGAATCAAAGGCACAATTCAGCCCATGAGGACATTTTGAAAATGGAGCGTATGAGGAAAACAGGAACGGTTGTGATCTCCTCTTCCACTTGATCTATCAGAGCCCATATAAATGTCAAAGTGATTCTGTTTGATTCATTTCTTCTAATACGTACATGTTAAATGTCACAGTGTGATCAAACTGTCTTATATAAATAAAAGCACCTCCTGTGCTCGGGCATTACAGAGCGAGGCGACAAACCTGGGCTCTGTTTTAGAAAGTGGGATTTATTTATTCTGAGTGGGAAAAGGTGATATCTGTGAGGTAACTCAACTCTGAGCTACGTCAGCCCAGAGGTCAGGATAAGCATGAGAATAATGTGAGCCCTGATCAATGGATCACAGAACAGCCAATCCATCATGGCCACCGGGGCTTAAAGTATTAATGACGGCATATGAAGATGATCAAACACAAAAGGTTGTGAAGTGGGAGAGATTTTTGTTTCACATAATTAAAAATTACATAACATTTTATGTTAAAGCAACATGAAAGTCCGTTGAAACCTTAACGGCCGTCAATCAACTACTTGGGAATCCAAATAACAAAGGGCCTCTCCAAGCTGTATGACACTAATTATAGATCTTTAAAAATGCATACAAAGAAAGATGGAAGGTTCTTTTGATGGACTTACAATCTATGAATGTGTTGCCTAGAATCCTCTACTTATTTTAGTCTTTACCAGTGTCAATACCAAGTAATCGTAGAGTGGGAGCCCAGAATAAAAGTTTTGAATCTTCAAATTGCTAAAGACGAGGGCAGACTGGTATTATCCACTTTAGAAGACTATTTCTATGCAGCGCAGCTCAAGTCTATAATAGGTTGGTGTGATTCTGACTAGATGGCAAAATGGAAACGGGTTTAAATTAATATATATATACATGTACAATAGATATATAGATGTATATAGATCTATCTAGATATATAGATATATCTACATCCCTCTCTATATATAGATATATATATATACCCTGTGAAACTTATTCCGACAACAGAAAGCTTGTTGTTCCAGCCAAATGCTACACACATCGGCATGTTTACCCTGCTACTCTGTGAGAGTACCAAGATGGCGGCAAGTGACTTCAGTTTTATGAATTCAGATTCATATATATATATAGATTAGAGTTTCAACAGTTCAATATTCTTATGACAGCGGGGAAAAAGCTGTTGAAGTGTGCTTTGAAGCTTCTTCCCAGAGGGCAGCAGGGAGAACAGTTCATGGTGGGGGTGTGAGGGGTCACTGATGTTATGGACTTGGGACATGGAGGGAAGAGGAGCCCCGATGATCTTCTTTCCTGTTCTCACCACTCTTCTCACCGTCTTCCAGTCTGAGGCGCTGCAGCCTTCACACCACACAGGGAGACAGCTGGTCAGAACGCTCTCTATGGTGCTTCTGTAGAAGGTGGTGAGGATGGGTGGGGGCAGGGGGGGCTCTCCTCATCCTCTGCAAGAAGTACATGCGCTTCTGTGCCCTTTCGATCAGTGAGGTGGTGTTTACATTCCAGGTGAGGGTGTCTGTGATGTGCACCCCCAGGAATTTGGTGCTGCTGACCACCTCTACAGCTCAGCTGTTGGTGAGCAGTGGAGCGTGGTTAGGCTGGTTCTTCCTTAAGTCCAAGATGATCTCCATCTTTTTTTCGATGTTCAGGATCAGGAAGACGCTCCAACACTAATTTTGTAAGACTTCATGCTGCATATGCAATATGATGTGCCAGCATTAAACAGCATGCGTGTGACAAATTGATGAAGTTATCTTTATAAATTCTTCTATTCTATTCTATTAGTCTTATACCCCCCGGAAAATGAGAAAATCATTGTCTGATGCTGTAGCACACATCTTGTTTACATTCCAACCTGTCTAACTCCCTGATCTCTATTTATCAGTAGTCTAACAAGGGAGTACCAATATGGCGGCCGGTGGCTTCACAGCAACTTGTACTACCAATGACTTATCAGCTATCCTGTGAATAATTAAGCTGATTAACAAAAATGGTAAATGGCATGTACTTATATAGCGCATTTATTCAAGTTAGGAGACGTGACCAAAGCGCTTTACACTACATTCATTCACCCATTCACACACACACTCACGGTGGCAAGCTACATTGTAGCCACAGCTGCCCTGGGGCTCACTGACAGAAGCGAGGCTGCCGTACACTGGCGCCACCGGGCCCTCTGACCACCATCAGTAGACAATGCAGGTGAAGTGTCTTGCCCAAGGACACAACGACAATGAAAGTCGGAGTAGGGGCTTGAACCGTCAACCCTTCGATTACAGGGCAAACTCCTCCATCCAACGCCACTGTCGCCCCAATCTAAAGGGTTGTTATTAGCTGAAGAACCCGAGGGTTCTGGTGAAAGAACAGCTGGTGAACTGTGGTGCATTGGGCAAACAAGACCAGAATCAATTCATTCATCCATCTGGCTGCTGATACTTGGACTCTATTATCAGTTGAATGTGGTCGTTGGGTTCAGTTTCAGCTGTTTAAAACCATTGACCCCAGTGGTGCTAATCCTGACCCAGCTGCACTATTTGGTTTGACTGAAATGTTCCTTCTCAGCATCTAAACCTGCTACAATCTGTACAACTTATTCCCATTTGATCACAGTTCTGTCGTAAAGAGTAATGCTTCTGTAAACATAAGCAACAATTCAAGAGATAATAACTCAACGTCCCATCAAATAGGCTAAATGCCTTCATGACGTCCTGCAGTATTTCTTAATGATGCAGAGGATTCCAAACGCCAGTCGATCCAGTTCATCCACCCCTGTGATTAACACTTTCAGCTGAAATTACAACCTCAGACACAAGAGTTGTTTGACCAGATTCAACACACGGCCAAAGGTTCTCTGCTAAAGGTCTTGCTTTAGAACAGATAAAGCATAAAGCATCAGGTTTTACCTTGAGATACAGTTCTTATTTGTATATCATCTATTTTTCTGTGTTTTTAATTTTCTTTCTGATTAAGCCTGATAAACCTTGGTTGTACTTTCAGAAGCGGCAATGTTATTAATACGGTTATTATGACTCACAGCCTCCAACAAAACAAAGTCTGTTATTACCACAGGAATTTATTTTTTTATGTTGAATTCAAAGCCAGATAATTCTCCACATTGAACTCTTGTCAGCTAAAGATTTAATACTAATTTCTTTAACAATGTTTTAGGAACTAGAGCCCTGTATTTGTGTTATTAGGAAGACAGGAAATAGAACTGAAGATAGGGTGAAGACCTGCGACAACGGTCACCAAACCCGAACTCCAGCCAGTGACAACTGCATAAAGAACTAAAATCTCCATACCTGGGTTTAACCCCTGTGCCACTGCTGTACTCCAAGAGCAGTTTCAGCAATTTATTAGAATTCAGTTGTTAATTGCTTGAAGATTATAATCTGTAATTCCTAGATTTTATCTATGTCTGGTTATTCTGTTCTGAGGTAAAGATTCTTGTGATGAAAGAAGGCCCTTTACCTTTTTTCTCAAATATTATGTATTGTATTGTATTAAAAAGATGAGTAAATGTCCTTTCCCACTGAAAAAATAGTGCACAACTATGCTCAATACAAAGCTTTAGCTACAACAATAAATAGCTCTGAATAACTCTTGTTGAAAACACCATTATGGTTTTCCCCCGGGTCCGTTAATTCAAATGCAGGTCAACTGAGATGGAGTGTTATAAAAAAATTCTGGACAACGAAGCTTTGATTCGCCTTAGCAAAGGGAGAGACCAGCAGCATCTGCAAACAGCATCTATGACCCCCCCACCTGCAACTCCGGCTCTTTTTGTTATCTTAATAGGGGAAAATCTTACAGTTTCATACAGACAGTCCCACAGAGTGATCATACTCCCTACATTCCTATCTCCATGTATGGAGTTGCTTCCTGCCTTTCTGCTCCCCTGTTAATCAGCTTTTTCTGTGTGTGTGTGTGTGTGTGTGTGTGTGTGTGTGTGTGTGTGTGTGTGTGTGTGTGTGTGTGTGTGTGTGCGTGCGAGCAAGGTCATCCTGCCTTTCACCTGCACATGATGTTTTGTACGCTCTGTTCTGTAAATCTGCCCTGATACATATTAACAGTAAATTTTGCTACTGCTTTAACTTAGCTCTTTGCTTCTTTTAGCTTAAACATGTATATATAACTTCAATTCCCCATTTTGAACTCAGAGTTCACCCTCTAATAGTAAATCTAACACAGGTTAAAACAGTATCTATAATGAATGTAAAAAATCTGTAAAAATAGCAAAAGTTAAAAACCAGTGAATTAAACATCCATTATTTCACTCTGATGTGTCACCCCCTTTAAAAGGTGATGTTTTCAATGTCAACTTTAAACAAACCCATTAATGTCTGCTCATGACCAGGATGTCAATCATAGAAGAAAACTTTTAAGCGCTGTTTCTTTCAACATCATATAATCATGGAATAAACAATCAACAGTCTCCATGGAGATGTATCATTAATCAGAGATCAAAAGTAATCAAAATCAAAACTTCAGACCAAATGTTGTTACTCAAGTCCACAGTTTCAGCATTTAACTACAATTTGGGTTTAATCTGATTAAAGGAAAGCTGTTTTAGTTTCCTATGCACACATTATTTTAATTTACCTTAGACTAGGTAATCTAAGCCTATAAATCTAATCAGGCCAAATTAATCTACTCTCACTCCCACCTGGAGGCCTCCTAAATGTGACCGCTCACCATGGATAAACCATCAATCCCAATTTACCAATCATTCAGTCACAGTAGGGGACGTCACAGGACAGGCCGGGCCGTTCTCCACCGGAAAACCCTACCCTCTCTAAAAGGTAGTAAAAATGCGGGGTGGCCCCAGGGAACTCCCACTCTCAGCCAATCTGAGCACGAAACCCCGTTTTGAATCTGACAATTATCATTACCAACTAATTAAAGAACCTTTAAGCCAATCAGGTTCTGAGTCTTTCTACATCAAAGCAAAGATGGCATAAAACTTGATCTCGGTGGGTCTGGAGCAAAATGTTTCCATGTTTTTCATCAAAACAAAATAAAAATAAATCAAAAATTTAAAACATTAAATATTTTAGATCATACAGCTCATAATATCAGTAACACAGCATACATTTTTCAACAAAACACAGTTCAGCATCTGCATCACTCACATTCACACAGTTAGAAATAGCTGGATCTTCACTCTACACAATCTCCGTAGGATTTGCTTTTGATGTTCGTATACATGTATTTACTGCATGTC